TTTTTTTTTTTTATTTAGACTTTTCAGAATTGATTTTGTAACTTGTAGAAGATTGGCATAGTTTTTCGCATGTATATGTAGAATGAGGATAAGCAGACATGTTGTTGACAACACGGGCTGGATAAAGAAGAAGAATTGTTGATAACAAACAAGTAAAAGAAAAAAAGAAGGCACGCGGTTGACAGTTGACAAGATCGGTTGTACAAAACTGAGGCCGACTCAGTTGAAGCGGTTACGTTGTGTGCAACACTAAGTATCTTTCAATCTAACCTCCTTATACTAAGCACAATCAGTGATAGATTAGTGACCATATGTTGTTGTCAAACAACAAAACAACATCGGTGTTTGTTGTTATCTTTAAGCGCTTTTTGGTATTCTGGACACTTACGCATAAGTGTGAAGACTTCAAAAAATATGACGTCTTTCGCAGGTAGCTGACCATTTTTATTCCATAGAATCGAGTAGTAGTCTAATGGTGTTAGGAGAAAATTTTCAAAAATTGGAAGAAAATATAAAAGAAAAGTGCATAGAATGTAGAAGAAACCAAATAACTGCTAGACTTTTACGCAGACAATAAATAAGCAAAGGTATAACTATATAAAACTTTTGTTTTTTCTATTAATTTATTATTTACTAATCAACAGAATCGTTCGAATTGAGATAAGTTTTATTATATTAAATTAATTTACCGTAAATTTGTACCTTTTACATCATCAGCATTACATCATCATGATCATCTTTTATATTTGATTTTATGATTTACGTAAGTTAACAACTCTGTTTTAGCGCAAAAGCTGATATTGGAGCGTTTCGCTGTCACTTTGCTTCAGAATACGAAATTTGATACAAAGTGTGATAGAGACGTTGACAAGCAAGCACAAGAACAAATTTTATGACATTTAAACGATAACGGCGCTGAAAGGGTGTTGTAAATCATACCTTTGGTTATCATTAGTGCATACATGTCTAACACCGAAGACTGGGCGTATATTTAGTTGGTTTTGCAAAACGAAACTACGGAGACGTGATCATGTATATATAGGTCTTTTAGGTCCTTATTCGTTTATTTATTTGCATTTAAAGTTATAATGTCATTTTTTAACTTACGTTCAATTGTGCGTCACTTGTGGCACAAGACTATGTTAAGTATGTGCGAATATATGCAACATCCAGAAGAATGCGAGATAAATCCATCTTTTATTATACTAATCGATTCAGAATCACTTTCTAAGTCGATCTAAACCTGTCTGTCCACCAATGCATGCTTGTGTTCAAGCTGCAGGTCGGCACTTTTGAGATATTTTGATGAAATTTGGCACACAGACGCGCTTTGCCCCAACGGACGGAAGCAATTGAAAATGGTTCGGATCGGCCCACTTTTTCAACCGCACACCTTATAACACTCTCTTCTGAAAAATCATTAATCATAAGTAATTTCATACAAAAATAAGAATTCTGTTAGGCAATGTGATGTAGAGTATTTTATGGCGGCCTGGCCCGCTTATAATGTTTTTATTTGTTTTAACAAATATTGTACTTTGATATACATACATGTTGTTTGGCTATTTTTTGTGCTTGCATTACAATGACATCTTCCGTTAGGCTAGAAATAATTCTTACACTTAATTGTCCAATTTAATAATGAATAAAAAAGCTCAGCTAATTTTGGAAGTTTGAAGGAAATGCTTCGATACACTTGTAATTAATTATAAGCATTTGTCTTTGGTGTGCTTGCATATTCATATATAGATACACTTTTTATTCTTTGATCCGCGATTACCTAAGAATTATTTAATGCCTTTCTGCGATAATTCTGTCGCCCGTCTTCTTCGTGGCCGATCGATTAAGCGCTGGGCTAGGCTAGGCTAGGAAAACAGAAACTTTTGTCTTGCATGGACGCATTAACTTCTTGCCGTCATTATGACAATTCTTAAGGCACAGAACATCCATCTCGGTAAAACCCGGTAGGGCCTTACTATAGATCTCCGGATCCTGCAGAAACTTATCCAGCGCGTAATCTCTTCTTTTTGCTTTTAGCTCTTGATTAACAATTGAAAGGATGTCCGCTGTAAATGAACACGTAGCGAAGATCGGACAGAATTGGTTAGATGTAGGCTTGTCTTTATCTCTCCCTTGAAATAAAAAAAGAGGGAAAATGCAGTGAAAAACATCGGCTCAGTTTATATGTTCTTTTTCAATTATTTTTTTTTTTCAAAACCGACCCTTATTTTTAACCAATTTCCTCCCACCGCGCTAAAGGAGATGTGATTGGCAAAGATGCGGTCATGAAGTAGAACTAGATGTTGCTCAGTTACTTCATCCCCAACTGTTTTTCGAATTTATTTTTGTTTACGGTTTTTTAGGATTCACGTTCATCCGGATAGATATTTCTAGGTGACCGATGGCACAATGAGTGTGAAAAAGTACACTAAGCGCCCCGAGTCCGGGTTGGAGAGAGATATATGGACGCATTCCTTCTTTTGGTGAGCAAGAGGTCTAACGTAAGTTCAAGACAGTCTCCAGATTTCATTGCGCGATAGCTTATATATTTTCCCCGACATCCGATTTGAACTCTCTCTGATTTCTATTAACTCCTTCGTCAAAAAACAGGGCCGAGGATCTTTTTACCAGTTTTCAGAAATTAAAAATAAAAACTTGCGGTTGAAAATATTTTATATAATGTGTTTGTAATTGTTGAAGGCATAAATTGCCCAGTAAAAAAAAAAGAAACGAATAAAGTAAATAGCAAGAAAAGGAGATGAGGACAGGCCGTATCTACATAGGCGTACCTTTGCTGATATGCGCATTCATTCACTCAAGTAAATAATCTCTTAAGTAAAGTTCTGGTTTTTGTTTTTGTTTTTATCTTTTTTTTTTTTTTTTTTCCCCTTTAGAACAATATTTTCTTAAATTATGTTGACTTTCTTTTAAAGTTAAATAAAATAAAAGGAATGATAGCAAGACAAACAAGCAAGCAAACAGCTGATATAAGGAACATAATGCAAACTTCTCGTTAAGTTAATTTGAAGATACAACGTAAAGATATAGGCCTACACGCTTACACGCTTACACACTTGCACACTTATTGCATTCAAATGTGAGCTGACTTTATATAGGCGCACAAAATTGAGAAGAGTTTCTTCTACTGTTTTAAAGCCTTTCTTTAGATTGCAAATAAATTCAAAATAAGTTTTTTTTTCATTTATTTTTGCTTTTATTTTTATTTTTTTTATTTATTTATTTTTTTTAATTTATTTAATTGCGGAGAGACTTTAATCTCTCTTCTTTTCTCTTTTAGGATTGTTCGGTTGGTTCTCTGCGTTTAGCGATTACCTAAACAACAAACAAAAGTCATCGTTTAGTGTAGTGGTGTAGTAGTAGTATCTCTTGCTTTACTTGCTTCTTTTTTCTTCTTTTATTTTTGTTGTTCGTTGTTTTTGTTGTCAGAAGACCATTTGGAATTTTTTTTTTTTTATTTCGTTTTTTTTTTTTTTTGTTTTAATGTTACGATTTTTAAGTTAGTTAGTCTCCTTCAATGCTTGAAGCCGGTTGTGCGGCATTAATATAACGCGAGCGATTTGTGTTTGTTATACGGTTCACTCTGAGTGATTGTTGCGAAGCAAGAAGAAAAATTACAGAAAATTCAGAAAACGAAAAAAGAAAAATTGCTTCTATTTTTTTTTCGGTCAACTGCTTTCAATTTAAGTCTGAACGACAATTTAAGGTGGTCTCAGTGGTGCGTAATACTTTGGAATCTGAAAATTAAAAAAAAAAATAAAAATTTTTTTTTCGATTTGTTTTCAAAAGTCGAAGAAAATAATCATTGATTGTGTGCATAAATACTAATTATTGTAATAGCATAGAGAAGAAAAAGAACAAGAACATTATCGACTAACTATTGTTTTAGTTTACGATTAAAGTTTTTGGGATTTTTCTTCACTTTTCCCTATGCCTGCGCGTTATTAAATGCAGACAAAGAAAACAAAAAAAAAAAAAAAAGGCGCATGTTTTTCGTGATATACAATTTAAAACTCTTGCTTATAATATAGAGTTTATTATTATTATTATTATTATCGATTCTTTAGCAAATATTTTTAAATTATTATAAAAAAGGAAAAAAAATAGGTCGTCTTCATATATAGCTGAAAAAGAGTTAACCTATAAAACCAACAGGAGCTTATACGTGTTGTAGTCTGCATGGAAGGAAGTTTTAATTTTTTCATTTTTCATTTTATTTATTCATTCATTTTTGTTGTTGTTGTATATTGTATGTTTTTTTATTTTTTTTTTATTTTTGATATGTATGTATGTATACATATACCTTGAGATTGTTGTATGCTTTCTTGTTCGACGCCTACGCGCCTGCGCAAATTTTATTTTTATTACTTTTATTGATCGTGAAGAGTTAAATCTTTCCTTCTTTCCTTCCTTGTGTTTATAAATTCTATGCGATATATGTTGTTTTTTATTAAGTGCTTATAAAGTATATTCCTGCAATATTCAGTGTCTTGAAGTAAGTCGTGGTGTGTTTTGCTGTACTTCAACAAATGAAACGTGATCATGTTGTAAAAAATTATTAAAAAAAAAAAGAAAAAAAAAGTCTTTATAAATTATATATAGAAAAAAAAAAAAAAAAAAAAAAAAAATAAATAAAATAAATGTTAATGAAAACAATAAAGAGAGAAAGCTTTAGATTATTGTATATAAAAGCAGGCATCCGTGAAAGTAAGTTAAAATTCTTTCTTTCTATCTATACCTACATATAAATTATTGTAAGCAATTACTTAATTTTTAACTTAGCCTTGATTCGGTCTAAACCAATTAAAGTTTAATGTCCACATCTTTGAAAGAATTGTTCACATTAACTTATAAAAATCATAGCTATAATAAATAATATCTTAGTTTTTATGTCGATACTTACTTACTTACTTTACTTATTGTACGTATTCTGACTATAACACGCAAATAGGTATTTTTATGTCCATTACTTTAGAATCTGGTTGGTCGTGTTGTCATTGTTTACAGTATCCATAAGGAAGCCTCAACCACTTTTACTATTGATCAGCATTCTATTTAATGTTTGTCGTAACAGTGGCTACAATGCGCAAGTGGACAGAAAAATTGGTGCTATGTTTATTTTTCAATTCTATGCCAAAGAAATTGTAGAAGATAGCTTCCAGGAAAGTTCACCCATGGTTTTTACATGCGCTGATATTGGTTAAAATTAATTCCGAAGCTGCCTCATGAACTAGTTCTTACAGTGAGAAGTTGAAGGCTTTTGTTTTTTTTTGGCGGCATATTTATGTGAAAATATTCTTGATCTATATCAGATTCTGAAGCGATCTGTCGATGTGTCCGTTTGTGTTCGGGGAAGAGATTGCACGCTGCTCAATATTGAAATTAATCCATATCGGTCTTAGAACATATCCACAATGGTATTTAACGTGTGACCAAAAAAAGGAAATGCTGCTTCAAACAAAAATATGAGCTCTTCCCTCTTTACTTATGGACTGTGAAAATGAGAAAAATTAGCCATGCTCACCGAGGCCCAAAGTACCAATCCTCTTCTTCTTCTTCTTGTTTTATGAAAATGTTTGAAACGTTCTGAAAGAAATTTCAGAGAGCCTGTTAAGTATTTTTGTGTCGATAGTCATTCTCAATTAATTATACATCGATCAGTCCATCTGTCCGTCTGCGTTAAATATTCTCTTGATGACAAAAATTCGGTTATCGTCTTTAAATTTGGCAAAAACATTGAAAGTTTTCGCATACTTGCTATCATTGCAAATAAAATCGATCAAAGGAAAAGTTTACAGTGCAACATAAATTAAGAACAACTTTATGTTTAAAAGCCAACAACAATTTTTTTTGTCCCATATGAATATAAGCTATTACAGAGACAAGTTATGCTGCAGTACCTATATAAAAAAGAAGAATAAGACTTGCTTCGCAATAGCATAACAAAAAAGTAAAAGCATTGAAATTTAGTTATGTTGTTTTTTTTAAATTTTCCATTTGGAAAATTATAGTTGGGCAAGGATGACTATTAAACACCCTACACTACATCACCTTGTAACTATTCGCTCGTTTTGGTGATAATACCCCACAAATTATGCATTATTTTCATGTTAAAGCATGCTTTTCATCAGAGTTCGCCTATTGGAAGGGTGTTCAAAGCTTCGCATGACGTGATTCAAATTTAGCAAACTTAGTTGATGTCCTAAAGGTTTTATGAGATTTTACTTGTTTACGCCATAAAAACTAAAAATTCGACTTTCTCGCCAGATGCTAGAGATAGGATCCTACAAATAGATCCATATGTTAAAAAATTTGCCGAATCAGTTTTCATGTCCAGTTTCTATTATGGTCAAATTTCCATCATAAAATACTAACAATTAGTCCTATACGGGACGAGCCTCAGAAAAAAAAGATTGATTTTCATTGTCAAAATTACTATTGAGAATTAGATCTTTTTAATATATATAGATCCATTTTTGAGGTAGAAACGGTTATATGGGAATGGGTTCAAAATTTAAATTTTTCAGGAGAAATTTAGTGTCTGTTACACATGACATTTAACAGGCTTTCAATATTATACGGGAATCCCGGTATAAAGCACGTCAGCGTATGAAGTTTTATTAAAGTATCTCCAAACTTGACGGCCTTTAGGCTAAACGCAAAACAAGCAAGATGGACAGACAGGCTTAGACCAGAATGATTCAGTGGGCAAGTGATACTGAATCGTTGATTATAACAAAACGGTGGGCCCTCCTGGGCGTTACATAAGCTCAAACAAATTTATTATCCTATACCGCAAGTCGCGGAGTGTATAAAAAGAAACAAAGTAATTTTAAATATGCCTTCTATCGAACTTTTATCATAGTACAGGATAGCCCGGCTTTGGAAAATTGCTTTGAAAGTAAATGTATTTACCGATAATTACCTCATTTCCTTCATCGCTATCATTAAAATGTTCAAGACTTTCCAAAATTGTTCGTTCACTCTTTTTTTAATCTATAATATAAAATCGAAAACGTTTCAACTTTCTTAAGAATTTAGATTCAATACCTAATGCTTAAAATGAAAGTGTATTTTAAGTAAGTTTTTCTATTAATTTTTTTTTTTTTTTTTTTTTACTTTCTACAAATTTTTGTTTCTGTGTTTTCTGAATTGACTTCTTTTTTGTATCATATGCTCGCTAAGCTGTGTGTCTGTCTGTCCACTAAAATTTTTGTATCTAGAATATTTACATTTATGTGTACGTAAGTAATTTACTTATTCAGCTCACATGCACTTTAATTGTTGACAAACGAAAAATTTGGGTTAAAGTAAATAAAAAGCAAAAAGAAATTATTGTTGTTGGCTTAGATCGAATCTTTCCACAACTACTATTAATGCTCTATGATATGTAGTATATGCTAACAGCATTACCATAAATTAATAAAAGACGACAATATAAGCGCGACTTGACCTGTAAGGATAGACATTCAGTTCCATAATTGAAATGTAACTTACGTAACTTTACTGTTCAGCTTAAGTTACAGATTTTTAATATTTATTTTAATTTACATATACTGTTGGGCATATCTTATAAAGTGTTATGTGAGACCTTAAAGGTTAGTTTACTCATTAGAATTTTTTCAAACTGTAAGTCAAACTCACTTAGGTGAGGGTAATAAGATTTCGTTTAATGCTATGCAGGACACTTTGAGTTAATTATCTTCTTATAAATACATAGCTAGATAAACGAACACACAACCATAACTATATTGGTTAAATTTTTCAAGCTATATGATCAGCAGTGTACGGTGCATCATTGGTTGCATTGTAATTTTGAAGATTTAAAGCTGTGGGATAAACTTAATAGACTTATTGGCGTGAATATAATCAAAGTTTTTCTTTTTGTTTTTTTTTTTTTTTGTAAACATAACAATAAATTCAGAACAATTGCAGAAATTTATGTAAATGGCTGTGTATCCGATATGTTGGCTCATGTAAGCAATTTGGTTTACTATTGTTGCTGTTCTTGCTGTTGTTTCTTTTTTTTTTTTTTTTCTTTTTTCAGAACAGGTTATGGGTAAAAGCGTTGCTTGCTTATATGTGTTTAAAATTTCTAAAATTGATCTCGTTAGATATTATTTCGTTTTAATAATACAAAAAAAAAAACTCTTTTATTATAACAAATAAAAGTCAGAACACTTATTATATATATCGAAAAATTATCCACTGAGAAAAAGTTGTTTTGGAAGGAAACTTATACTTTTCGTAAATTTAAACAAATCTGTTCCATGATAAAGTTTTTTATTATTATTATTATTCTTATAAATTTAGCCAGAGGATAAATTCTAAGATTAAAGCCGTAAAGCACTAGCATCTAAGGCTTTCGGCTTTATTAAAAACTCTATTGCACTTCAGATTTGAACCCACGACCACTGAGTTGTTAGTTGAGACTTTTGTTTGCTCGGCCACTCAGGCGGACATAAAGTTTTTTAGAAAACTTAGGAAACTATTTGTTCTAAATTTCCAATTCATATTTTGTAGAGTGTCTGTTCTGAAGGAGAACTCAGAAATTTATTAAAATAACACTTTCCAGCCGTACTATGAAGCTACGGTTGTCTGCGTGGGAAAAGCACATTCCTCAGTGTGCAACTTTCTTTCAAACATGCATAACATTTGGATAAATAGAAGCCTAATGATCGCAATGTGCCTCACAACAGGATGATTTTTGTCTCGAAAGATCCGAACAATGCAGAGATATTTATACTCTGTTTTAGAAAAATCTGTTCGATAGCCTGAGTATAAAAAGCTTCTTATTTTCCTTTGACCAGACATGTATGAAAGGGTAAATATACATTGCCGAAGTACTTAATCTTCGCTTTAGAAAGATCTATTAGGGGGCATTGAACATCTGTTCATCTGCATCTTGAAATTTGGAAGCCGAGAACAACCGTTTGGCAAGTTTCTTGGTCGCTATGAGTAGTTCTTCTAAATAGCCGGACACAAAAAAACCTTATATAGGCTCCGTATTGCTTGGAGGAGAGGTAATGGCCTCTACTCAGGGCGTTTGTCTGGTGATTTTGGATTGTTATAGCCCCCTAAACAATGGGAATTATCTGCATTGGGCTGGTTAACGCTCGTTACTTAAACCGTTTGTCGCCCAGCCCCGTGGAGTAATACAAACTGTGCAAGCTTCTACGTTTAATTTTCGAGACTTTTTACCTTAGATCGATGCAAGCCTTTTGAGTGGCTTTCACTTTCCAGGCAATTGCTTTAATCAGGCGAAGAGGAATTTTAATGTACACTTTGCCGTTTTTTCAACCAGGAGACATGTGAAGTTATAGCTAATTTAATTCGGACGAATGTAAACCTTTAGGGGATTATTAACAAGATGTGTTGTACGTGATCTGCTCACTTCAATTCTTGTTTTATTGGCAACTTATAACCGTGTAGGCCAAGCTCGACGTGCGTAATGAAGTGTGCGCTTGTCTGTGTTTGCAATTCCCCGGCTCTTAGCCATACTGTCGGCAGGTGCAAGTTGAGGCCAAATACCGCCTCTGCAGACCATTGTTATCATAGCAGACATAAAAAAACTTAAATCTTTGGCAGATTTACTGTTCAGAGAATTCTTGTGGGAAATATTTGTACTATGAAAAACAATAACTTCACCATATTTCAAATATATGTATAAATAGAATAGAAAAGAGCCGAATATGCAAAATATGTACAAAGATGAAATGAATGTAAATAAAAAGAAGAAGAAAAACGGTGAAATTAAATAAAGAAAAGGCTCCAAAAGTAATGCCTAAATAGCAAGAAATTTTTATATGTTACTTTAAAAAAATGAAGCGCTTACCGCAAGCACCAATTAAAAATTCAAAATACTTAAAAGTGCAAAGTGAAGAAATATTTTCCTAACATTTTTGGCTAATTACCTTAGGTAATTGTCTATCCAATGCAGTTAAAATGGTTAACACATTCATATCTCTTTTTTCTTTTTTTTTTTTTTTTGTTTCTTTTTAATGAAGACGTATAATCATAAAATAACGTGGAATCTATCATAGCAGATGTGAAGCTTTCCTCTACAGAGATGGTGGGGAATTTCACTTAAATAAGGTCATGATCCAATACCAAGAATATCATTTCTGCTATAAAAATAGTGGACTTCATTTTTCTGTCATTCACTGCAGAAGTCTTCTATCCAGAATACCAAGCTTACTATGATTGATTTTTTGCCCAAATCATATAAAGGGTCTCTCATGAAAAGCAACCACTTGCTAACTTTGGCCACGTTAGTTGATGCTTTCCTCCATTCTCCAGTATGGATAATTTTCAATCCATTGTAACGAAAATGAACAAAATGTCTCTATTAAGCGAAGTGCTGTAGGCTGTCCAACGTCGAGCGTTGACCGATTATTTATTTGTTTTTATGTAGCAAATGTGATTGTCATGACATCTATCTATATCTCTTGTTAAAAATCCGTGTAGTTACGAGCCAAATGATCTCGTCTTTTGCTCAGTGTTCCGTTAAAGCGCTAGTTTTAAAATAACTTAAATATAAGTGGAAACAAATAGTAGTCCATGGCTAATAACTAAATACTAATTATGCAAATAACTACTTTTCGAAGTGAGGGTTTATATGGCAAGCGATCAAAAAAGTGGTCCGATCCAACCCATTTTAGATAGCGTTTGTCTTTGGATCAAACCGCGTCGCGTAAAAATAGCGTCCTGTATGTTTAACACAAGAAATCGGGACGGACCGACGGACAAACAAGTTTCGATCGATTCAGAAATTGATTTTAAATCGGCCGGTATAACAAAAGGTGTCTTTATTTGAAGTCCTTTCGCACAAAATATACCCCTTTGCCACCTCTCTCTCACTCTCCCTCCCTCTCACTCCCTCTCTCCCACTGTCTTTCTCCGTCCTCTTTATATGATTTTATCAAATCTTTGACATCCATTTCTGGTTTTTTTTTTTTTTTTACCCTCTTATGATGAACTTAAACGCAAAAACATTACTTAAGAAAAGTGAATAACTTTAGGTTAACATTTGGAAATAATTTTGAAACATTTTTGGTTTCTTTATTGTTAATAATCTGGGAATTTAATTAAATATATATCTGAGCGAAATTTATTGTTTTTTTATTTTTTATAGCATTTTATATATCTCATGAATATTTACGAAAAAAAAAAACATTTTTTTGTAAAAATTTTTTATAGTTTTTAAATTCAGCGTTGGGCGAACTGAAAAGAGCGCGGAACGAGACGAGCATAAACAAAATTACAAAAGTATTTTCTTTTTTCATTAATCAGCCGCGCGATGTATTCAAAAGTTCGTGTAACTTTTATATAAAACAAACAACAACATACTGTTGCACAAACAATTCAAAAGAAAAACAAAAAAAAAAAAAAAAAAAAAAAACTTTATGTAAAACAATAACGAACCCGTGACTAAAGCAAAAACAAAAAAAAAAAAACATCTGAAACCAAAACAAAACTTCTAGCAACTTCTACATGTTAATGATGAAGCAAAGCTATTAAAAAGAAAAAAAAAAAGGAAAAAAGTTAAATGAACAAAACAGTTGCATAAAGTCAGTGTAAACGGAACCTTAACATAACTCCACTAACAGCGAATGAAAAACATGTTAATTAATCACCAAGATTGTAACATCCAGAAATATCGATTCGATATTGCGCATAAGTGATTTGCGAACCGTACACTTCGTACCCCTTTTTCAATGCTATCTGCTGTTTGTTGCCTTCCGAGGAGGGTGGTGATATCATTCTTCTTCTAAGTATTGCGGCTACATTTTGTAGCATCAAAATGGTTATGTCTTTCCCTATGCTATGTTCAATTAAGGTTTGCATTTGTATAATCAGCACTCATACGCGGCAATCATCTGTCTTTCACTATACCGTAGCGACCATTTAAATGATGTTGTATTTAGAATTTGATTGCATCCTTTCTTCTTGCTTCTTTTGAAGGAGAACTTCTCCTATCCTAACGAAAACCCATGCGTAAGAATCGCACTGTAGGCTCGGCTTCCTATTGCCAACCAAAGTAAACCTATTTTTTCATTTTCCCGTAACGCTGCAGCAACGTTACTTTAGCTCTTTATTAGCGTATTTTAGGTACGAACGATGAATCGAATTTGGAAAATTTATTGATTATAAGGCTTATTTGAAGTCGAACAACGCTGACTTGACTTATTTTTCTTGACCTTATGTAAGCGTAGATTTATATGTACACTTAGTTAGCTGAGTTGTCTTTTCGCCTGCCTAACTGCTAGATGTTGGAGCCTGCTGCTGTCGGTAATTTGTTTTTTCTCCAATTACTCGTATCGCCATAATGTTGAACAGGTGCTTAGAAAATCTAAAAATATTTTCTGGTTTTTCTTTAACTTTTCGTTTAGTTAATGCGGTCAGAAATTCACTTTCTTTTTTCGCATTTTACTTTAATACAAAAATTTTTCGAATACAATTTTTTTATTTTTTTTTTTTTTTATTTCTTCTTTTCATATAATTGAATTTTTTTTATTTTTCATCTTTATAGGCAATGTAAGGGGAAGTTCTTTTTTATTTAACATTCTAAAAATATTCAATTCTAAGCATAACTAAGATGCGTTGGCTGCATGCGTATGTGGCAAAAAAAAAATATTTGCATGCTTTTCTTAATGAATTTTCCTTTAATTGCTGTTGACATAGACATCAACTTCATAGATCAACACAGATGGTTTGTTTTGAAAATTTTGTAGCTTAAGTGCAAGCAATTCTTTCTTCACTAAACAATTTCTTAAATAAACTTTGCTTTCATCTTATTTTCGACATTCGACGCCTGATTGCGATGAACTGATCATATGCTTTACTATCCCATACATTGTTCATTGCTGGTCACTACATTCTTTCTTCACTTTCGGAGAGCGTACGGATCTGCGTCGAAAAAAGTGCTTATGGTTTGAGGTTATCCACGTATCGATTTAATTTTTGACTTTTTGATGAGAACGAAAGTGTCAGTCAAGCAGGTTGTGTGCCAATCATCAAGACACCAACGGCAACTGAGGGGGAAGAATGCGAACGAATACGAATGCATTGCGGCAGCTTGTCTTTTAATGCGTTTGACCTAAACGCATCAATCGCTTCGTTACTGATTGCCAGCGATTGTGTTAGATACTGTCAGCCTACAACTCCGTGTTTTTGAGAACCGTCCATAGATCTTCGGCGCTAAAATCGCTATTCTTTAAGCAATGAAATCTTTTTTAAGCCTCAGCCAAAGATTACTTTGTACTGAATCTCAAGTGCGGTAGAGTTTTTAATAAAAGCCGATAGCCTTAGATGTTAGTGCTTTTAAGAGTTTAGTCTTAGAATTTATTTCTCTGGCGAAATTAATAGTAATAATAATAATAATATTGAAGCAAAAAATGAAAACCTTCTGTAAATGATGAGAATTTAGTTATAGAGTGCCGCGGTCCACCGCAAAATACCCCATGTCATCCTCTAGCTACTCGTATAACGAATTTTGAAAATAAAACGCCACATGGGAAGTGATCGGAAATGTGGTCCCACCAGGACCGTCGTTCAATGTCGTTTGTCCTTGGGCGAAAACATATCCTTGTAGCAAATTGCACTAAAATATTTTAAAAATTGCGACTTGTCGATTGATCGCAAGAGAGCAAGACAGATAGGCGGACAGATAAGGTTAGCATCACTTCCCGAATCGATCGGTATCTTAAAAGGTAGATTCAACTTAAGTGCTTCTGGCTGTTGTATACCTCCGCACATTTGTATAACAAGTGATGTAGTAATAAAACTACTTCGTTGCCATTTAAGTTGAACGTACATGTAATCAAAAGGAAAAATTTTTTTAAATATTCATAAGAATTTAAAATTTTTAGCACTAACTTGAAGAGCAATTAGGTGTACTATCTTCTTCCTGAGATGTTAAGTTTTCTGTTTAGGCCGAAGAATATATGAATGAATGGAAACGATTGAACTTGAGTTTAGTTTTTTCATTCCACACCTCCGTTCCCCACGAGATGTGTGCGATGACATGAATTGAAACGTGTGAGACAAACTAAGCGACGAAATGCACTGCAATCGCAAGGACAATCTTTCAACGACAAAAAAAAAGGATGTGTGAAAAAAATTTTTGATGTCCAGCTGAAGATCGAAAAACCAAATTTTTTTAACCTCAATTTTTTTTTTAAGACTAAACATATTTCCACTAAATCTCTACTTTATCTTTTAAAAAAGAAGAACCTATAGGCTTGATTGCTGATTGCTAATATTCGCTACACTTGTTTAGTCCCAGAATTTACTTCTTTTGGACTAAATAATGTAACACAAATCCGTCTTCTGCGATTTAGATTTCCTGAACTCCCTTTGAAATTAAGTTTGTACCACGAAATTATGTCATTTAGGATACTATAGGTTTTATCTACAATTCTTACGAGATGTATGGATAAACGATTTGCAGGAAATTGTATGTTACAACGATTTAATTCTCGTCCTGGTCTTGTCCATTCGAGGGTTGCGATTTATCTCTGTTGGCCCGACTCTCGCGACTTTCCAAACTTTTTGACTTCTTTTTCGTCTAACTTTGCCCTCCCAATTATCATTATCTGAGTTCATTGTGACATTTTTAATCCGTTTTTCTGCTAAATTTTTGCTAAATGCTGCATGACACATATAACGCACCATGGATATGTACTTCGTTCTCCCTTTTCTTAGAAAGTCTTCCATATCACCGTTATTCTAAAAAAAAAGACCAAAGAAAAATAGATAAGCTTTCACACTCTACGATATTGGATGAGTTTTTCTATTTTCAGAATAAAAGTGGACAGTGTTGTAATCTATCAGCAATAAGCCAAAACAAAACGGTGTTTTTTTTTCATAGGTATGTGGGCGTTGTAGGCGCGTTCTTTATCAGGTTTTGCAATTTTTACGATAGAGAGAAGGTTTACCGTAGATGCCACAAAGTCGGGGAGACGTACACATGGAGTGATGAACAGACGTACATGCTTAGATGCATTCCGATTTCGAAACTGTACAAGAATTTACAAACATTATGGGGCTTTTGAAGCCGTCATCCGCGCGTTATAGAGATATTAAAAAAAAAATAGGTTTTTGTACACTATAATAGTGGGTAGGCGTTACCGATATTCTCGATTTTTGCACAGCCACTACAGCATTACCCATAGAAAACACATATAAATTTTTATAAAAAATGTATCTCTTATAGCTTGTGAGAAATGATCAAAGAAACAACTTTTCCATCCTTTTTATGTGGTACCCTAGGTCTGTACTTTAATCGATTTGGCCCATTTTCAATTCCAGCCCGCGTACAAAGTTGCTCCTCCATTTTTATGGCAAGGGAATGCAACAAGTATTACACAGACGGACAGAAGGACAGACGGACATCCCTTACTCGATTCACCATTTGATGCTGATCAACAAAATATGTGTTTTGTGTTGTCTCTGAGGCTTTCTTCTGAGAGTTGCGAACGTTTTGACAAAATGAATATACCTCTCATCCTTCGCTGTTGGATATAAAAACACTTTCCCATATAATTTATCGAATCTGATGTCAAATATTTTTCCTTTTGACAAATTTTTGTTTTTCAACGTAAATTAATTAAAAAACCTTCTAGAACAAATTTCATCTCATTATTCATGTCTTATTTTGATGCAAATCGAATTGAATTTTATCGTTTCGGAAAGTGTTTATAATTGACTCCCTTTGTTATTAAATGTAAAAAAAAAAAAAACATTGTAGTCAATTAAAATTCCTTAGGAAGTTAACATTTAGCTCCCGACCATTAGGTAAACTGTGTTCATAAAAATGACATCATTTTGTAACTTTTTTTTCCTCAACGACAAACAATTAAGCATGATATAGAAAGGAGGTTACACGGGACCGGTCATCTTAAATGTTGGAAAAAATCGATTGTCCACTTTATCGAGCTTAGCGGACAATTGGCCCGTATTCTGTTTTCATTCGACTGTTTGGATATTTGAACTGCATTCTCAAGTGAAAATCCAGTCATTATTTTGCTTAATTAAAATTTGGCTAAAAGTAAAAAAGAATAATTTTCATATTGACGTTAGTTCTAATACCCTGTACCATGTCTGGCGTATGGGTATATTAAGTTTGTGCGGATGTCTGCAATACCCAGAATAACTCGAAATAGATTCACTTTTTGTTTTACCGATCGATTTTTTACACCGATTTAAGCGTGTCTGTCCGTCTGTCTATGCTGCGTTCGGCCTACATCTCGCAATTTCAGAGATATTTTGATGAAATTTGATACACTGGTTTTGGCCTAAGAACGAACTCTATTGAAGGTGGTTCCGATCGGATTGCTTTTTCAACCATACCTCCTATAACTCTCTATTTAAAAAAGTCGTTAGATCAATAACTGTAGGGTGGCTCGCCACAACTTTTTTTACTCAGTAAACACTGCACAATCGATACTAACCATTTCGCTTATAGCCGGAATATTTTATGCTTATAGATCCTTTAGGTAGGGTAGGTCCTGGAGACTCGGATTCTATTATTCTCTTATCATCCTATAACGTTTGCAAATAATTGATGTTCACGTAATTGAGTACAAATGTTGCTGAAAAATTTCTATTATTCTATGATTTTGAGAAGTTGTAACCTCAGCAGAAAATATAATAAATTTTCGAAAATGAAAAAATTTCAAATTTCGGAATAAAAGTACAGTTTTTAGCTGAACATTTTTTCGAAGGTTTTTCAATTCCATTTTCGTTGAATATGTATAAACAGTGTTTCTAGCACATATATAGTCTACCTGCTAGAAAACTGAATACGAAAAAGCGATTTAAGAAGCTTGCAGCTGAAAATTATATTTATTCTAAAAATGATAAACTCCAAGTTTTCTTACGTAAGTAAATAAATGAAAGAAATACCCTTAGAAGGACTTTGGCAAATTTGTGTCCGACTGTCTAGCAATTTCGAAACCCCATTATCCATGTGATAATATTAGAAAATAAGCGACCGTTATAGTCGCAAAAGAATTCAAAAGCTTTTTCTCTTTTTCTTCTTAGGAATAATAGGAAATTTTGATCTAATTCAGGTTTAGAAAAAAGATATCCTTGATATTCGATATAGTTGCGCAATTTAACTTGAATATTGGGCTTAATTTTTGGTCTCAGTATTATATCATTATCTGTCCATCCGTCCTTGTCGGAATTCCTCATCAAATTTTATCAGTATGAGTGTAATTTTCCCGGCAAACGAGATTCAGTATTTTCACAATATGAACAATACATATTTTAGTTGCCATGCGGTGGTAATAATTTGACAAACTTAAAATTTAATTTAAAAAAAAAAATATTTCTAAAAAAAATACTTAAAAATATTTTCCTTTTTTTTGTTCTCTTTTCAGGTTGGTTTCTTATAAATAATTTTTCAACAACTACGCATTTTCCTTATTGATACACACACAAAAAAAAAAAAAGGGAAGAAGAGGAAGAAAACAACTTATTCCCCATAAATTTGTCAACGCCCTTTCAAAACTGCTACGATATTTATATGTAAATGTTTTCTGATTGTCAATATTAAAACTTTTTCTACAATTAATTTGAAAACTATAGTCAAACCATTTTATAAAACTTTTTCAAAAATTTATTGCATTAAAAAAGAAACTAAAATTGAATTTTATGCTTTAAATAAAAGGAAACGTCTGTTTTGTAACGTATTAAGAAACGAGAAAAAATAATTTTCTGTTGAAAATTTAAAAAAAAAAGATAACAAAACATAATGCGGTCATTATGACTTCGCTGACTATGAATATGGTATTCTTCAAGGATCTACGAACTCGCCTTAAAGGATATATTCATGTATGTACGGTTTTGGTTTTCCTTTCCTTTTCTATTTTCTTTATAAGAAATCAATTTTTTATTATTTAATTAATTTAGCAAATTTTATGTCAGTCTGAGTTGTGAATTCATCTACTACACTTCACCATTAACCATTTACCTATATTTATAATTAATGTAATGGGTAATCCTGAAAAAACTGGCTCCGTATATATTAGTGGCCGCTTTATCAGCTTGGAAAGCACACGAGCAGATTTTTTTGTTTGCTCTCAAATTAACAAATGTTCGAAAATGGCGTTTTACAACACGTCCATACAGTTGCCAACTTTTCCTTTTCAAATTATATCCCGTGATTAGGTTTCTTGTACTTTGGGGAAAGGAAACGCAGTTTAAGATCGACTGCAAACAACTTTTTTCTTTCTTAATAAATTATTTTAAGGAGCCAAAGGAACTTAAAAATTTGCCCTTCTTCAAATGATTACTAAGCTGTTAGCTGTGAACATTCAGAACAAAGGTGATGGTTGGGCAGCAGAAAGCGACTGAATTGGGGTCGATTTTTTGCCCGAATATCATACTTATTTGATGATTGCCTATTATAGTCAATGAGAACTTTGAATGTCGAAATTGTTAGATCGACCGCGTTCTAGCTTCTTGCTTTCGATTTTTACTCTACTTATGAAAAATTTACACATTACAAGCTAACAATCGGACATCTTATGAAAAAAATATGAATCGGTCTGTCGTTATCATAACGGATAAGAAGGTTATTGTAACTTAGGTCGACAAAATTATGATCCGAATAGCGAGCAATGCTCAGGAATAGAGCTTCCTTGTGTAACCTGAATTTATGGGTATATTTTGGAATGAATTATTTTGTTCGACAAGGTACTATGTAGTATTCGAAAGAAAACAATTATTGGCTATGGTCTTTGATTAACGAAGCTCTTAATAAAAAAAAAAAAAAAAAAAAACCTATATATAGATAGCAAAGAAGGACCTCAACCAAGGCACTTTTACTTGTAAGCATTCCTGCCCTAGGCTTAGCATTACTCTTACATAATATGTTTATTAGCTAAGGGTGTGAAGTTATGTTTAAATCTAAACTAGCAAAGAAACAAACTAAAATTTTTTCTGTAAAGCCGATAACGGAATTCTGTTAAACGAAGTCTCGGAGGGATTTAACTCAAAATACAAGTAATATAGAAATTTTCGAGAACTTTTTTGCAAATTATTGCAAACAAAACATGACTTTATATAAATTACTTAATATTCGAAACCAAAACTTTTTTACACTATGCCATAAAGCGAAAGTTTGCGGAGCTACTGTGGCCAAACCATGTCCCTTGTAAAAAAATGAAACGAGCACAGAGTGAATCCTCTATTAATAGCCTTTCCAACGGTGTGCGGGTTGTATTAAGTTTTGCCCCAAAAATTTTTTTATAGGACTTTGAAAATTTCCCCACTTAAGATGGTATAGGCTAAGATATGAGCAAAGCTTGAAAGGCCACTATGGCCAAACCTGGTCTTTCTATCTTCAACAACTTCTCTTTTCGCTTTTCTTACCGCTTTTTCAATTTTTTATTTCACTACTTTCAAGGTAACATTTTTTGTTTTTTTTTTATTTAAATTTGTTAAAAATTGTATTTTGAAACCTATGGGTGACACTTATTAAAAAAATATATATATATATATATATCGAATGCGTGCTTGTTTGCAAAGGTGTTAAAAAACTGTGATAAGTTATTGTTAACCCAGGCACATTTCATTAGCACTTCAATCGCCATCCGAAAGTGTAGAAATCAATCATTAACCCGCCATAAAAAGAACCTTGAAAATAAACTTTGAATGTTGTTTGGTTGTTGTTTGAGACGTTAATACCTTATTTGGCATATAATTGTGTGTACTCTACGACTTATCGCTTACTTTTGAGAAAAGCGATAAAACTAAATAACGCTTAAAATTATATCAAAAATTCTCGTCGGCCGGTTTTGTGTCAATTTATTAAAATGCTATAATATGTTGTTTAAAAATCGTACATATATATGTATTTAGGTATACGTAGATATCTATATATATATATATATATATATGTGTGGTTATATTGGGGATGGACAAAATTATGAGTGTACATTATGCAAGACAGTATCATCTTGTTGCATGTTGACAACGGAGTTTCCTTGTAAATAATACGATAACTACTTATTGCACAATTTAAGTGCCAAGCCTTTTAGGTTATATTTCAGTTACGCTTTGTTTTATGGCGGTTATAATATGCAATCGGTGAAATGCATGGTCTGTCGCACTTCGAAAGATGGCAAATAGTTGGTGCTGAACGTGCGACAGTATCCGCGGTAATGACGACATATTCAAAATATGGTAAAACATTATCGGCGAAGAGAAATAAATAGTGGGGTGAAACCCAAAGTTATCTGGCAGAGATCAACGAAAATGAAAAAGGATTGTGGGGCAGCCAATAATAAAACCGACGAAAAAGTGACAGCGCCACAAAGCTAACATCGGCGGAAGAACTAGGGCTGAGAAATTGCTTACAACGGAAATCAAAGAAAGAGGTAAAAGTGGTGTCCTCTCCACCATCACAAAAGACATGAATACTTCATGATTGGCAGTAGGTGGCATGCTTTGATGAATCACTGTCCACATTGTCTCCTAAAAAAGCAAGGTTTTTTTTGATGAAGACGCCCCAAAAGTATGTTACGACTCGAATTTTCTGCATGGGCGAAGTTCGATTACGATTCCATTCATACAGTGGCCGGATTACTACGAACAATTATCGCGACACCTTCAGTGATGTTTTTACTATCGCTAGCATATTGTTGCCAGGCACTGGCACCTTCCCGACCGAATTCCTTGTACCCACCACCGTTAATCCAAAAAAAAAAGAAGAAAAAAAAAGAAGAAAACTATCACTCATCTGGGTGGGTGTGGCTGATTTTTTCCACTTTTATGGAGTAAAAAGAAAAATTTTTATCATGTATCTGTGTAATTTACAACTAGCGAGAAAAAAGCGCACGGTGAGCAACAAATTCTCTCCGTTTTTGTCGCATTGTTTACGTGTCCTATGACCAGTTTGGATCATTTTCAAATACCTTTGTAAATTTATAGGCGATATCCGAATTTTTGTGAATCAGGTGAATGTTTACAGCAAATATTATACAGACGCATAAACGGACACGCTTGAATCGATTCGGAACTCGATGCTGATCAACAATATATATATATATATATATCTGAAGCTTCCTTTCGGGTGTTGGATATGTTTTGACAAAATGAATACAACTTTAATCCTAAGTTGATGAATATGAAAATAGTTTACATTTATTTGTATTTATTTTATTATTA